CCAGCGCGTACTGCTCGACGTACGAGAGCAGCGGCGGCGCGCCCGGCTCCTCGCGGCCGCGCAGCTCGGTGCTGCAGGTCGGCGCGCGCAAGCTGCTCCGCAAGGTGAAGACGCCGGTCGAGCTGGCCAAGCGGCAAAAGGGCGTCGCGCGGTACGTCGACCCGTCGATGCTGCGTGTGACCGCGATCCGCTCGTGCGCGATCGACAAGGCCAACGGCCCGTGGCCCATCCCGATCATCTCGGCGTCGGAGGACCGCATGGCGGCCGTCGAGCAGTACGGCCTCGGCGAGGACGGGCCGCCGCACGAGCTGTTTGCGAGGCGGCTGGCGCGCGTGTACCCGGCGGGCACGCGCGTCACCTCGGACAACATGTCCAGGACACGTCCACGACATGTCCGAGACATGTCCTTAGGCGGGCACGCGCGTCACGTCGGACAACATGGACCCGCTCCCCTCCTGGCGGATGGGCGCGCAGATGGTGTCGCTCAACTACCAGACGAACGACACGCCCGTCCAGATCAGCCGCGCCCTCTTCGCGCTCGACAACGGGTTCGGCTGCGTGCTCAAGCCGCTGCTGCCTCCGAGGGCACCCGAGATGACCCGAGACGACCCGAGATTAGGTTCGGCTACGTGCTCAAGCCGCCGGAGCTGCGCGGCGGCGGGGGCGGCGCGGAGTGGCCGCCCTTCCGGCCGAACCTGCAGCGCTTCTCTGTGCGCCTCCTCGCCCTCCACCGCCTCCCCACGCGGAGGGAGCAGCGCCCGGCGCTGGAGGCGGCGCCGCACCACGCCTACGAGTCGGCGCTGAGCGGCGCGTCGGCGCCGCCCGACCCGGCGGGCCCGATCAACAACGCCACCATCTCGGTGGAGCTGCACGCCATCGGCGGCTTCTGCTGCGTCAGCCGCACGCTGCCCCTGCCCGCGCGCCCGGCGCAGCGAGCCACCGTCTCCGCCTCCGCCGCCGGCAAGTCGGCGCGCCACTCCACGCTCCACTGCCTCGCCGCCGAGCCGCGCGCGACCGTGCTGCGCGCGTGCGTGCACGACGGCGAGACAGTCGTGGCGTACGAGGCGGTCGTGCTGGGCGCGCTCCGGCCCGGCTACCGCTCGCTCTCGCTGCGCAGCCGCCTCGGCACGCAGATCCGGCTCTGCTCGCTGCTGGTGCACATCGAGCGGGGGGAGGAGCCGAACATGTGGGCGGAGGCGCGCGAGCTGCGCGAGGCGCTCGCGCAACGGGACGAGGCCATCGAGCGGCTGAACGCGGAGCTGGCCGCCGCGCGCCGTGCCGGCCCGGCCGCTGCCGCCAGCGGGGAGGAGGAGGCGGCCGCTCGGCCGGCCAGATAGTTAGGCGCCATCGAAGCACCAGCATGCGACTTGTACGAGAGGGGTTTATTGGGGGGGCCAACCTGCATGCGGTTAAGCGTGCGGAGTAAGTACTGTATACTCTGTATGTACGTACTGAGACACCACAGCCACTTGTGGATCACCTCACTGGCCTCTCAGAGAGACGTCAGGGACACCTGGCTGGAACAGAGCCTCTCGCGCGACTAGGCGAGGAACTCGCACACGCACTCCTCAGTCGCACACGGCGAGATGCCGTGCGGACGATCTTGCGCCACACGCCGGGGCGAGGGCCGGTTCGCAAGTTTACGCGGTGAAGCCGGTGAACTTTGCGTCGTCGTCGCCCTCGTCGTCATCGCCCCACATGTCCTCGTCGTCGTCGTCCTCATCCTCGTCTTCTTCATCTGTGGCGTCGGGGGGGATAGAGGTCGGCAGTGCGTCTGAGGTGAGCGAGGGTGCTGCACATGGGTGGGCAGTGTGAGGCGCGTTGGGAGCGAGGGGATTGGTCGCACCGTCATCGTCCGACGGCGGCGGCGGCGAGGGGGGCGGTGGCGGCGGCGAGGCGGAGCGAACGGCCTGGACCAAATCGCCAGAAGATACGGCACCGGTCAGCGCTGTAGCCAGCGTGATTGGCAGTGCCGCGGTGAGGCGGCGCCTGCCGGAGGGGACTGCGAGACCGACCACCTCGTAATTGGCCCCGTTCAGGGCGATGAAGTCGCCCACCTTGAGACCTTCGACGTAGCAACTGACGACAATGACGGTGTCGCCGGTGCTGGCGTCCTGCGTCAGAGACATTCCTGTCCCTGCCGAGCACTCCCATGTGTCGGACGGCGGTAGTGGCGGAGGCGACGGCGAGGCCGACGGCGGCGGCGGCGAGGGAGGCGGCGGTGAGGGGGGCGGAAGGGGGGGCGGAAGGGGGGGCGGAAGGGGGGGCGGCGACGGCGAGGCGGACGGAGGCGGCGGCAGAGGCGGCGGCGGCGACGGTGATGCGGACGGCGGCGGCGAGGGAGGCGGCGGTGAGGGGGGCGGAAGGGGGGGCGGAAGGGGGGGCAGAGGCGGCGGCGGCGACGGTGATGCGGACGGCGGCGAGGGAGGGTACCCCGGCGGGGCCGACGGCGGGGCCGACGGCGGCGGCGACGGCGAGACGGACGGAGGCGGAGGGGAGGGCGGCGGCGGCGAGGGCGAGGCGCCGAAGGCTGCGTGGATGAGCTCCATTGTCTCCTGCGGAAGGGGAAAGGTCCGGGGCAGGCGGCACGGTGAGGGGTGAGTTAAGCGGCCTGCTGACAAGGGTGGGGAATGGGCAGCAGCGGACGCGTCTCGCGGCTTCCTCGATGGCAGCAGCTGCACCTGCGAGCGGGAGTAGGCAGGCGGTGCGAGGCTGAGGGGGGTACAGAGCTGCTCGCGCGGCGAGAGAGGGCGCATCGCGTGGTGGCCGGGGGTGGTGAGGGGGCGGCGGGTTCCGTGAGCAATAGGCGTCGCGGGGGTCTAGGCGTGCAGCTCGCGGCGGCATAGTCGGGCGCAATGCGGCGCGGCAAGCGCGAGCGGACGAGGAAAGTGCATGGTAAGCCTCGTGTGGATGTCAGGCAAAGGCCGTCGGGGAACGTGCGTGGGGTGCTAAGTATTTTCAATCAAAAAGAGCGCCTTCAGCGCTACTCTATCGAGGTCTCGCCGAGGGGCAATTTTTCGTTTTTCACCGACGTGGTTCCACCAATCACGCCTGGTTTAGCCCAGGCTTGATGTCTGTTCTGCATATGTGCAGTTGGGAGTTGCCCGACCCCGAGCTGCTGTGTGCTGACTGGGCCTCCATTCGCGTCCTGATTGCGGAAACGGGCCGCCTAGTGCAGCATCACTAGTACAACACGCAACCACACTGAGAGCTCCACACTAGCCGGTATAGGCGAGAACCGACGGCGTCACGGTCGCCGGAGTGGACGCACTGCACACACACTGTGACCGTGTCGACGGTGTGACAGTGAGCGACACAATCGTCGGCGCCGCGCTATCGCGGCGCCCCGCAGTCTACACGCCTCAGGCGCACCCCTGAACGCGCCATGGGCCCCTCTCTCACCCCTGAACGCAATGCGGCGCGGCAAGTGCGAGCGGACGAGCTTAGTGGAGGGCTTCCTTGGGATAGAAGGCCGTCAGCGGAATGTGGGGTACATTGGGGGACATGGGGTACAGTTTTCCAAAAAAAAGAACGAGCGAGATTTAGCCGAGAACGAGCGAGATCTAGCCGAGCTCGACAAGCACCTGGCGGTGGTGCTTCGAGCGTGGTCCGTTCCTAGGGTGGAAGACCCATGTACACTGAATTTTTGTCTCTCAACAGTGGCCAGGGGCGGGGCTTGGATTTTTGCCGTCGCCAGTCGACCCCCAAACTTGATCGAGATGAGCGTGCGCGGGTGCCGGTCGCCGAGCGTCTCTCGCTGCCCCGCTAGCGCCTCGCGGTACAGCGCCTCCGCGCCGTCCAGGTCGCCCTTGGCCTCCAGCAGCTGGCCGAGGTTGTTGATCGAGATCAGCGTGTCCGGGTGCCGGTCGCCGAGCTTCTTTCGGCCCGCCTCCAGCGCCTCACGAAGCAGCGGCGCCGCGCCATCCAGGTCGCCCTTGTCATACAGCAGCATACCGAGGTTGTTGATCGAGGTGAGCGTACTCCGGGTGCCGGTCGCCGAGCGTCTCTCGCCTCGCCTCCAGCGCCTCGCGAAGCAGCGTTGCCGGCCGCCGAGCGTCTCTTGCTGCCCCTCCAGCGCCTCGCGGTACAGCGCCTCCGCGCCGTCCAGGTCGCCCTTGGCCGCCAGCAGCCTGCCGAGGTTGTTGATCGAGGTGAGCGTGTTCGGGTGCCGGTCGCCGAGCGTCTCTCGCTGCGCCTCCAGCGCCTCGCGGTACAGCGCCTCCGCGCCGTCTAGGTCGCCCCGGTCATGCAGCAGCATACCGAGGTTGCTGATCAGCTTCGAAGTCGCCCTCTCCGCCGGCTCCATCCGCTCCAGCGCCGCCCTCCCCTGCCCTGCCAGCGCCCCCCGCAGCAGCCCAAACACAGCCTTGTTGCACTCTGTCAGGCCAACCTCCCGCTCCAGCTCGCCCAGGATCTGCTCCGTGTCTTTCGGGTTGCGGCACTCCGCCTTGCGCACATCCACCTGGGACAGCTTCTTCGCGATCGACTCAAAGTCATCCACCAGCGCCGTCTCGAACGCCGCCTGCTGCTCCGCGCTCATCACCACCTCGAAGCGAGCGCCCGACGCCTGCGTGTGGAACACCTCCTTGATGCAGTACGCGCGCAGCAGCGGCTTTGGGGCGTACCACGGCTCCATGAGCAGAACCGTGTGGCCGACGGCGCGGACGCAGTCGCCGAGCCGCTTGACGTCGTTCATCGAGATGCCGAGCTGCCGCGTCGACTGGCGGATCACAAAGTCACAGACCCAGAACTTGGTGTCGGGCGGCAGCTCTGGGTGGAGCCGCAGGTACTGCCGCAGGGCGTCCACCAGCGTCGCGAGCGGCGTCTCGAGGAACCAGCTCACAAAGACGGTGGCGACGCCCACACCTGGGTCGCCGCGCTCGTACAGCGTCTCGCAGTACGCCTTGCCTCCGTCCGCCTCGCTAAACCTCGAAACGAGCCACTGATTGACGTAGCCGTTGAGGGCGGCGTTGGCAGGGACGCGGACGCCGTTGATGGTGGGCCGGTTCTCGTTGCACTGCTCGACGGCAGATATATTGGGGAGGCCGGCGATATATTCCTCGATCGCGTCGACAGTTAGGCCGAGGGTCAGCCGCTCGGGGAGATTGAAGCTGGCGGCTCTGTGCGAGACGAGCGCTTGCGCTCACCTCTCTCTCAGAACTCTTGACGGCCACACGCTGCTGCGCTGTCGACTCGTCTTCTATGACGTCGTCACTCGGCTGTCTTGCTTCGTTGGCGATCATCACCTCCTTGACGCCCTCCCCCGCCTCACGCTGCGCTTCCGCGACCTGCGCTTCCGCGGCCGAGCTCTCAGATGCAGTAGCTAGCGCAGCCCACTCGTATCACGGTCTGGGTTTTTTTCTTTTCATCTGCACCCACTTCCTTTCTAGATACATAAAAGTTGGGAAACCGGAGCGCACAGAGAAAACGGGACTCGGGCTCGGAGGAGGCCCTGCAGGCGGCGCCACTCTAAAATATGCGTCGGCCGTCTCGCCTCGCAACAGCATCAGAGTGCCATGCGCGGATAGAAGCGCTGACGACGGGTGAGGAGCTGTGACACCGCTCTCGAGGGGACGCCCAGCCGCCGAGGGCTCTCCTTCTCCCGCCTCGCCGCCCGAGGCCCCTGTGTCGCCGCTCAGACGATGGCCTTGTCCCACACGCACGCTCCGCAAATCTACATGTACGGCTTGACTAGCTCGAGCTGGCGCTCCTCGCACGCGTGCACGAGGTGGTCCGCCCAGCCGGGGGCGGCGACGCCCAGAACCCTCTGCGGGCCTCGGTTGAAGTAGAAGAAGTATCCGTCGCCCGCGTGCTTGGGGACGTCCGGGCTGACCGTGCAGAACATGGTCGTCGCGGCCCCCTGCGGGATGCTCTTGCGGAAGGGCGCGAAGGAGAGCGACTTGTAGAAGAGCGTCCCTGGAGGGGGGAGGCGGGGGTGGAGGGGGCGAGGAGGGTGGAAAGAGAGGTCGGGAGAGGGGTGGCGGGGAAGGTGGCGGAGGGAAGAACGTGCCCATCCCCTCGTTTTTGGCGAGCAGGCCGGTCTCGATCACGCCGGGGTGGACGGCGCACGCGTAGATGTTGGCGCCGCGGTATTTCTCCTGCAGGTAGCGGGCGTGGAAGGCGTCGATCGCCTTGGTGACTGCATAGGTGCCGAGCTCGTGGTACTCCTGCGTCAGCGCGGCCGGGGACGCGGGCGGGGTCAATGCGCGCCCGCCCCGTGGAGACTTGCGGGAGCGCTGGCGGCGCATCGCAACCGTCGCGTGTGATGGCGGCGCGCCTCCTTGGGCACGGGGCACTTGCTCAGGTCGATGGAGGTGCACATGGTGCAGGCGGCGGACGAGAGGATGACGATGCGAGCCTCGGTCGCGGTCTTGGCGGTCTCCTGCGACATCGGGTCTCCTCGACTCACGGCGGGGCGGTCTCGGTGGCGCGAGGGGTGAGGGCGGCGGCGGCGGCAACGGCGGGAGGAGGGCTCCTCGATCTTTGGCAGCAAAAGCTCCGACATTAGGAAGTGGCCCAGGTTGTTGGTCGCAAACATCGACTCGTACCCCTGCTTGGAGGGCTCCCACTGGGGCGGCGCCATGATTCCCTACCATCGCAACGGTGCGCTCGCGAGACTCGACGCAGGAGTCTTACCACGCGGGTGGTCGCACCGCGTTCAGGATGAGGTAGTGCAGCGGCAGCCCCAGCTTGAGAAAGTCGGTGACGAACGGCTTGACGGTGGTGAGGTCGGAGATGTCGACCTGCAGCAGGATCGCCTTGCCGGTGGTCTTGCCGCAGCACCTCGGAACGAGTGAGGTTGTTTCGGTGAGCGTGGTGCCTGTGTCTATGTGGCTGTTACTACCCGGGAGGCTGGCACGCTCGTGCGCTCGAGAGGCGATGGACCTGTCCCGGGTAGGTCGGACCTGTGGACGTGCCCGTCCTCGCAGGTGTGCGTGCCCTCACCCGAGTCGAGCTTGTCGAGGGCCTTCTGAGCCTTCTCGAGGTTGCGGACAGCCCAAATGACCGTGCAGCCGTAGTGCCTACTCGAACGCCAGAACCGTAGTTAGCCTCGAAACAAGGGAAGCTGGCCTCAGGACCGCACGCACATGAGGACACGCGCGTTTTGCAGACCGAGGCCGCTGTTCGCTCCCGTGATGATCGCCACCTTCCCGCTCAGCGCGTTCCGGTCCTTGCCGAGGGCCTCCACTGCGACTTCCTCGACCGTCTTCCCATTGTTCGTAACCGCTTCGTACGCGATTTGGCCGAACATGGTGAAGAATTGGCGGATTGAAGAGACAGCGCGGAGGCTGGGATCGAAGAGGTACTGGTGAGCCATTCGGAGCGCCATTTTGAGGGCGAAGAGCTCCGTGCGGAGCCTCTGCATCAAGGGCATGCTGCTACTCGTGCTCGCTACTAGTGCTCGCCGCTGCTGGAGCGTGCGCTGCTGCGAGGTGCGCTCGCTACTAGTGCTCGCCGCTGCTGCGAGCGTGCTCGCCGCTGCTGCGAGCGTGCTCGCCGCTGCTGCGAGCCCCCCGGGTGCTCGCCCGGCCGTAATCAGCCAACGACAGGGGGGTGGGGGAAAAAGTATTATCCTAACGGTGTGGGGGCGCGGAGGGCTTGTTGGCGAGCCAAAATGGTGTTTTCCGAGGCGCTGCGCTAGGCTCAGAGCGAGTTCGCGCTGCGCTAGGCTCAGACGGCGAGTTCGCGCTGCGCTAGGCCCAGACGGCGAGTTCGCGCTGCGCTAGGCTCACAGATGCGAGTGCGCTGCGATAGAAGAAAAAAACAGCTTCGAAACGACAACCGAAGGGAGGACTGTGTAGTGTAATCATGTGTCAAGAATCACGTGCTGCTGCTGCTGCTGCTGCTGCTGCTGCTGCTGGTGCTGCTGCTGCTGCGCGGCGAGCGCCGTCGCCGAGGCGGGCCTCGGCGGAGAGCGCGATTATGCGGCCTTTCCCGCGACCCGCACAAAGAAGAGGCGCCCTCCGTCAGCCTCGACCTGCCACCGGCTCGCGTCGACCGACCCGGCCGCGTGCCACACCTCCACAGCCCAGTGCGCCAGCCCGCAGAAGTTGCCCGTCGCCTCCTCGATGCCCCACCCCGTGGGCCACGCGGCCAAGGCGGTGCCGAGAGGCGGCGGCGGCGCCGCGGTCGCCTCGAGACGCGCCGCGACGGCGTCAAAGGCGATCCGCCTCGCGCCCGTCGCGGCCGCCTCGGCCAGCAGCGCCTCCCCGGCCAGCCGCGGGAGGTCGCCCTCCGTCTCGAACCAGCACGACGAGCGGCCGTCGGCGCACGCCTCGTCCCACGCCTTGAGCTGGCGGACAAAGGCCGCCAAGCTCTTGAGGTGTGCATACTTGCGCTCGGTGTGCGCGCTCGCCATCTTCAGCCGCGCGTCCTCCCACCGCCGGCTCGCCATGCCGGGCGCGCTGTTGACGTACCTGCGACGGAAGGGGGGGGGGGGGGGGAGCTCAAGCGACACGCGTCGCGAGCCAGGAACACAGAGCCCCGCACGTGATCCGGTCGGCGTCGATCGCCTCGCCCAGCGCCCAGTCCGAGTCCTTCTCGACGCGCGAGAAGAGCGTGTAAATGAGGCCGAGGAACAGCTTCTCCATCGAGATGTGGTTGGCGACGTGCGCGATCATGAACTCGACGTCCTTGCTGTCGCCGAAGCTCCCCCCCTGGGTCTTGTGCGCGACCGTCGCGTACCCCGCGCGCAGAGGCACGCCCGTGCGCGTCGCGTGCCTAGATCGTCACTGCACCAAAGTCAGGGCGCGAGCACTCACGGTGACGAGCAAAGTCGGGCATCGAATTCACGGGGCTGCGAGTTTTGCCGATGCGGCCAAATGCAGTGTGCGCTCTCGAGTGCTAGTCGGAATGCACGGATCTGTATTCTTTATCTAAGGCTGCGTTCCCGGCGCGCTGGCCCGTCGCGCCCGACTCGTCCTTGCTGAAGCTGCGGTTGACTGGAACGGGGACCCACTTCTCGCGGCCAGCGCCGCGAAAGAAAGCGGGGCCGTCGTAGGCCGGAAAGCTGACGACGGCGGCGACCGGAAAGTGCTGCGGAGGCTGCTCGCCGGGCTTGAAGAGGAAGGCGACGATCGTCCCCCGCGCGCCGTTGTTGAGCTTGAAGAAGACGCACTGGTTCTTGGTCAACACGGTGGGCGAGCCCACCGCGCCCAGGAAGGTGCGAGGGATCTGGCCAACCTCCTTATCGGGGCCCTTTGGGGGCTGGCCCTGCGTCTCGGAGGGCACCACACACACGGGGTGTTCCGTCGCCTTGCGATGCTCCTGCAG